TTTATTTATTTATTTATTTATTAAATTTGTATGCCGCCCATCTCTCCCAGTGGGTGACTCTGGGCAGCTCACAATAAAAGTAAAAGCCACAAACAGTTAAAAAATAAATACCCCCATTAATTAATTAAAAAGTCAAACTACAGAAACAAGCCCTATGCATAAAAACTAAAAAACATTCAAGATGATGGGGGAGTAACATCAATTACCCCACAAGCCACTTCCACTGGTGTGAGCCCCCATGCGGCCCCCAGGTCATCTGGCATAGCCAGTATTTCACGCTCTTCCTGAAGGCCATGAGAGTAGGGGCACACCGCACCTTGGGAGGTAGGATGTTCCACAGAGCGGGGTCCACGGCAGAAAAGGCCCTCTTCCTAGATCCCACCAGTCGAAAATCCTTCACTGGTGGAGTCTGCAATATGCCCCTTCTGTCAGACCGAGTGGGGCAGGCTGATATAACAGGGGCAAGATGGCTCCTCAGATAACCTGGTTCTGTGCCATGAAGGACTTTAAAGGTGATGATCAATACCTTGAATTGGACCCGGAAGCAAACTGGCAACCAATGCAGCTCGGATAACGGTGGCGTTATCTGGGCCCCCCAGTGGCATTCAGAACTGTCCATGCCGCTGCATTCTGCACCAGCTGTAGCTTCTGGATACTCTTCAAGGGTAGCCCCATGTAGAGTGCATTGCAGTAATCCAGCTGGGAGGTGATCAGGGCATGAGTAACCATGCAGAGGGCCTCCCAGTCGAGGAAGGGGCATAACTGACTCACAACACAAAGTTACACAAAGGCCCTCCTAGCCACAACTGCTATCTGCTCTTCGAACAGGAGTCATGAGTCCAGGAGGACCCCCAGATTACGCACCAGGTCTGTCTGGGGTAGCGTAACCCCGTCAAGAACCAAAGATGATAAACTCCCAGATCTTGAGACTCCCCGAACCCACAACCACTTCGTCTTAGCAGGGTTCAGTTGAAGCCTGTTGTCCCCCATCCAGGCCCCTACAGCCTCCAGGCACCGCGAAAGGGTAGCCACAGCGTCACTTAGGTCACCCGGGATATATAATTGAGTTGCTGAATTATAATTATATATGCTTTTTACTGTAATATAATCTCTTTTTTTGATTTACACAGCTACATTGCTTCAATCATATTTTTTTCATTCCATAGAATTATGTGGGCTGGGGAATTCTGGGAGTTGAAGTCCACACATCTTAAAGTTGGCTGATGTGGGTCTTCCGGGCTGTGTGGCCGTGTTCTGGAAGGTTTGGTTCCTAACGTTTCGCCAGCATCTGTAACCGGCATCTTCAGAGGACAGGAGCACAGACAGGAGCGGTTCTCTCTGTGCCCAGGATGATGTGGCCCTTTTGTGGGTATTTATAGAGATCAGTGAGGGTCCCTG